AAATTTATGTAGTTCTTTTTTATCACGTCTGTGCCAGTTATCAATTTATTGCCTCTTAGCTCCAAATCCATGCTTCTTTGCTCTACTTTGTGATATTGGAGCTGGACCCTGTAAACGTTTCTTCTTTCCCAGCTGGCACAATATTAGGCTTTGTTAGAAGGGGCTGGAAGGACACTGAAAGAGGAAGGGGATTCTTTTCCTTCTTATTACTGTCAGTGATGTGCAAGAGACCCAATGGTACCCAGCCTCCACTGAGTTTTGCCAGCACTGCAGCAGGTAGTTTCCTTGTGGGTAGGAGGTTTAGTAGCACGCACACACTCAACAGGTTTTGCCAGCATCACAGCACTCCAGTGGGTGACTTCCTATAGAGTTTTGCTGGCATTTTCCCAGTGAGTTTCATTGGTATTCCAGGGGACCACTGTTTTCCAGCGACTTGTGGGAGACTCAGTGGTGTCCAACCTTCAGTGAGTTTCTCAACACCCCAGTGAGAAGTTTTTTTTGCTCACCAGCCCTGGCTTGCAACATTTCCACAAAAATTTCCACCATCCTGTTGGTCACAGCCACCTTCTCTCCAATGAGGTCTGAATCTCAGCCTTGGAATGGGGTAGCTCTTCCCAATTTGTTTCTTCTTGGAATGTCCAACTCATTAGAAATCTGAACATGCTGCTGTGGTTACTGCCTTCATGGGAGTGAGGACGGATTTGATCATAGGGATAATAATAAATAACAAATGCTGGAGCCATATTTATTCAGCAGTAGGCACTGTGTTGGGCACTTATCATATATAATTTTATTCCTCCAGGCAATCCTGCAAATTTATGTTCATGAAAGCAGCCATAGACAATACGTAAACAAATAAGCATGGCTGTGTTCCAATAAAATTTTATACACAATAACAAGCGATGGGCTAGATTTGGTCCATGAGCTCTAGTTTTCCGGTCCCCAGTGTTCATTTTAATTTATTACAGTCTACTTTCCAGTAATATTATATCACTTCACAAATAGTATGGGAACCTCACAGTACTCCAATTTCTCCTCTCCAAGCCTTTGTGCTATTATGCCATCAATTTTACTTCTATGTATGTTGTACAACTCATACCAGATTATCACTTTAGTTGTTAAACCGTCTACTATCTTTGAAAAAGAATAAGAAAAATTATTTATATTTTCTCATATAATAACCATTTTTCATTCCTTTTCATTCCTTTTTCTAGATCCATCTAGCATCATTCCCCTTATTCTTAAAGGACTTCATGAACATTGTGTACTGCAGTTCTACTGGTAATGAAACCTTTCAGCTTTTTTTTTTTAATTAAACTTTATTTTGAAATAATTGTAGATTGACCTGTAGTTGTAAAACATAATGCAGACAGATCTCATGTATCTTTTACCCTGTTTCCCTAATGGTAGGTAACATCTTGCAAAACTATACTACGATATCACAATCAAGATATTGACATTGATACAGTCAAGATACAAAACATTTCCATCACTACAATGATCCTTTATATTGTGCTTTTATGGCCACACCCATGTACTCCCCTCCTCCACCCTTTACTTAATCCATAACCGGTTAAAGTTAACCCACTGCTAACTCATTGCTGTCGAGTCAATTCTAACTCATAGAGACCCTACAGGACAGAGTAGAACTGCCCCATAGTTTCCAAGGAGCAGCTGTGGTTTTGAACTGCTGACCTTTATGGTTAACAGCTGAGCTCTTAACCACTACGCCACCAGCGACCACTAATAAAAGAACCCTGGTTGTGCAGTGGTTAAGCACATGGCTGCTAGCCAAAAGGTTGGCGATTCAAACCCACCAGCTGCTCCGTGGTAGAAAGATGTGGCAATTTGCTACCATAAAGATCGTTGTTGTTAGGTGCCATCGAGGCGGTTCCGACTCATACCAACCCTTTGTACAACAGAATGAAACACTGCCCGGTCCTGCGCATCCTCACAATCACTTATGCTTGAGCCCATTGTTGCAGCCACTGCAAAGATTACAGCTTTGGAAACCCTGTGTGGCAGTTCTACTCTGTCCTGTAGAGTCACTATGAGTCAGAATCGACTTGACAGCAACAGGTTTTTGTTTTGTTCTCCATTTCTATAATGTTGTCATTTCAAGAATGTTATATAAATAGAATCACACATTACTATTTACTCATACTATTTTTGGGATTGGCCTTTTCCACTCAGCATAATTCTCTGGAGATTCATCTAAGTTATATCAGTAATTTGTTTCTTTTTATTGCTGAGTAGTATTCCATGGTGTGAATGTACCAATTTAACCATTCATCCATTGAAGGACATCTGGGTTGTTTCTAGTGTTTAGCTATCACAAATAAAGCTGCTACAAACATTTTGTACAGGTTTTTGTGTGTGAAATAAGTTTTCCCGTCTCTGGGATAAATGTCCAGGAGAGAGCCATTGCTGGGTTATACGCCAATTGCATGTTTAGTGTTTTAAGAAGCTGCCAAACTTTTTTCCATATTGGCTGTACCATTTTACATTCCCACCAGTAATGTATGAGTGACCCAGTTTTTCTGCAACCTTATCAGCATTTGATGTTAGCACTAATTTTTGTTTTAGCCATTCTGATAACTATCTAGTAATAGCTCATTGTGGTTTTAATTGCATTTTTCTAATGGCTAATGATGTTGAACATCATTTCATGTTCTTATTTGCAGTATGTATATCCTCTACAATGAAATGTCTGTTAGTATCTTTTGCCCATTTTCTACCAGGAATTTTTTGTTAAATTTTGAGGATAGATAATTTGTACATATTAGTGCTTTGCTGATGGAACCCTGGTGCTGTAGTGGTTAACATGTTAGCTGCTAACCAAAAGGCTGACAGTTCGAATCCACCAGCCGCTCCTTGGAAACCCTATGGGGAAGCTCTACTCTGTCCTATAGGGTCACTAGGAGTCAGAATTGACTTAAAAGGAATGGGTTTGGTTTTTTGTTTGGGTTACTCCTTTGCTAGATATGTGGTTTGCAAAGATTTACTCCCAGTTTGTACCTTGTCTTTTCATCCTCTTAACAGGGTCTTTCGCAGAGAAAAAGTTTTAAATTTTGATTAATTTTATTGATTCATCAATGTTCCTGTTATGGATTATTCTTTTGGCATCAAGTATAAGAACTCTTTGCCTAGCTCTAGATCCTGAAGATTTTTTTCCTAAAAGTTTTATAATTCTCTTACATTTAAGTTTGTAATCTATTTTGTTAATTTTGTATAAGGTCATTTCTTTTTTTCCTATCGTGTCCAATTGCTCCAGCACCATTTGTTGAAATTGCTCTTTCCTCCATTGAATTGCTTTTGCACCTTTGTGAAAAATCAATTGGGCATATTAGTGTGGGTCTTTTCCTGGGTTCTCTATTCTGTTCCCATGATCAATGTGTCTACCCCTCTGCCAAGGTCACAGTCTTGATTACTGTAACTATGTAAGTCTTAAAGTCAGGTACACTGATTCCTCTCACTTTATTCCTTTTCAAAATTGTTTTAGATATGCTAGTTCGTCTTTCCATATAATTCTTAGAATAATCTTGTCTTTATCACCAAAACTTTTGTTAGGAATTATATTGAATCTGTGTATCATCTTCTGGAGAACTGACAACTTTACTATGTTGAATCTTTCAATCCAGTAATATGGTGAGCCTCTCCATTTATTTAGATCTTTGATTTCTTTCATAATCATTTTGCAGTTTTCTGTATACAGATCCTGTACATATTTACATCTAGGTATTTCCTGTCTTGTAAGCAACTGTAAATGTATTGTATTTTTTATTTTGGTATCCATGTGTTGATTGCTAGTATACAGAAATACAACTGATTTTTTGTATATTTACCTATTACTCTGCAACTCTGTTGAACTCACGTATTAGTTCTAGGGGGATTTTCAATTTAGACAATATCATTTGCAAATGGGGAGTTTAATTTTTTTCTTTCTGATAAGTATGACTTTTATTTCCTTTATAGCATTATTGCACTAGCTAGAACTTCCAGCACTATGTTGAATAAGAGTGATAAGAGCAGACATCCTTGCCTTGCTCCCAATCTTAGGGAGAATGCATTAGGTCTTTCAACACTGAGTATAATGTTAGCTGTAGGGTTTTTGTAGCTGTGCCCTGTAAAATTGAGGAAGTTCTCTACTCCTATTTTTCTCAGAATTTAACATGAATAAATGTTGTGTTTTGTCAAATGCTTTTTCTGCATTGACCAATACGCTCATGAGATTTTTTTAGCCTGTGAATACGATGAATTACACTGATTTTTAAAAAAATTTTATCTTTTAGAGCAGTTTTAGGTTTACAGAAAGTGTGCAGTGAGTACCCACTGTTCCCATATATTCCCCACCCCGCCTCGCAGTTTCTCCTATTATTAATATCTTGCATTCCTGTGGTATATTTGTTATAACTGATGAACCAATATTGATGCATTTTTATTAACTAAAGTCTATAGTTTACATTAGAGTTCACACTTTGTGTTGGAAGTTCTATGGGTTTTGACAAATGCATGTCATGTATCCACCATTACAGTATCATGAAGAAGAGTTTCATCTGGGGAGCTTAAAAAATAAAATACAGATGCCTGGACCCCATACTGGAGATTTTGATTTAATTGGGGTGGAGGTAGTTGACTGGGCATCAATGTTTTTAAAGAAATCTCCATAGATGGTATTAATGACCAGCCAGGGATGTGAACTACTGATCTAGTATCTCAGCTAATCCAGCAAAGAATGACAGCTAGTGTGCAGGCAATTCAGAGAAAATGCTTAAAATCAGAACACTGACTGAGTTTACATTCCTCTAATGTTGGAGTAGCCTGGAACAAAAAGAAGATGGCAGGTGGAAGGATAACATCACTTGTGTCCCCTGCATCTATAACTTCTCCCTTTACTCAAATGTGCCTGGCTGGCAATTTACATTCTCTAGGTCCTGAGACCTCTGGGGCAGATAGATCTTAATAATATAACCAGTAATCAAGGAAGAACTCAAATATTATTGCTGTATAATACTTTTATTAAATAGTTTTATGGAAAAAACCCACAACATTTCCGTGTTACATCATATAATCTTCAGACGTGTTAGAGTCCAGTGACAAATTACATTTGGAGCAAAGCTTTAAAATCGGTACTTGTATGCCACCCCTTTGTGAAATACTGAGAAGCAGCTCTGTGCCTAACCATTAAAGGTTACACAAAGCACCAGTTAAAGGACTCTCACATATTTAATCCCTTTCAAATTACAGCCTTATGTTCTATTTATGATAGATACAGCACTGCTCTCAATTCAAAATGCTTCAGTATAATAACAACCAACGTCCTCCAATTTACCACAATTCACAGAAGTCTCACATATGGGGCCAAGTGCAGAGATTAGGACTAATCAATATCAGTGAGTTTTGGCTGTCCTAAAACCGTAAGCTGGGTGGGGTAAGTATCCTGGGAAACGGAATCAAAAAGAAGGAAGATGATCAATACCTAATATAAAACTTAAAGTAGGTATCTCTTGACCATTTAACCTTTCTGACACCTACATAATCCAAGAAGGTCTAGTATCGCACACCAATGTTGCTGCAAAAGCACTGTGAACTCAAGTATCAACTAATGCTGGAACTAATATCTTAATTTTTAACAAAGCATATTCACTTCAAAGCACAACTGAGAAAAGCAAATCAAGACAAAAGCCCAAATTAGAATGCTAGAAGGATTCCACTGCAAAGAAATGGATTGCATAAGTAATAGACTTTTGAGTTGTTCCTTCTTTTTTTTCTTCTAATTTTAAAATACAGTTGGCCTTTTTACTTCAAATTTGGGTTCACTGTAGAAATCATAGCCCTTCAATTGTGATAGGCATCTAAGGAGAGACAAATGCCTAGATCCACAGAGTTTTAAAAAGACCCTAACCCTTACCCATCCCATGGGTAACTGGATCAGCAGCAGCTTGTAGAAGACAGCAAGAACCTTGGCTTCAAGGATGAGTCAGAATAATGTAGGAACAAACTATGTATCTGCTCTTAAGCCCATGCCTCAAATGACTGAACAGTAAGGATTTTAGAAATCTCTGAGAATATAATGTATTTCAAACACACACAAACATAGACTATTGCATATTATTTTTAGTTGAGGTCAAAATTTAAAAAGCCCTATTTCCCCAATTAAACAGGGAATTCTATCATTATAATGTCTCCTTCAATTATACCTCAGATTAATATAAATCCAGTCTGAAGGTATCACTTCTTTCTAAACTTCATCTTAGCAGCATAGACAGAGAACTGACACTTTTCAAAGGTTTCATCTCAGATCCAATGGGTCTACGAGAGACTAGAAACAACTGGAGGGAAGTGAGTGGGCCTGGGTTTGTAGGATCCTCCTGGAAACTTCTCTTAGATTCTTCTTTTACAGGGTTTCTCTACCATACAAGGATATATATTTAAAAAAGCCAACACCATTGCCACTAGGTGTACTATTCAGACTGTTGCCTACAGAGGTTAAAACTCTAAGCTCTTAGCAAGCTAATAACCAAGATCTGGAAGTTCTCTGTACCAGCAAGATGACTAGTCTATTTGTTTTAGGTAATGGTTGACTTGACACCCTGATAAAGTCCACCTGACAAATGAAGTTAAAGCAGAAAAGAGTAGAGAAAAGGAACAGAGAGGCAAAGGGAAGATGTTTTATGCAGTGCCAAGTTTTATACACTGAGATCCAAGGATGCCACATTATGTCTGATTGTAAAAAAAGAGGATATTTTCAGTTCTAAATTACTTAAGTGTTTTTCTAATATCACTCTCTAGCTCAGTCACTCTTCTTTCTTTTCCCCACAACCCCCAAACCGAGTTGTAATTCTTTCAGGACCAGCTCTCCTGAAGAGCTAATTTTCTTACTGTCAACTTTGACTCTGTGAATCTCCTATAGCCCACCCGGCACACCCCTCCCCTCCTCAAAAAAAAAGACTAAAAAAAATTTTACTCCCCTTACTCATTTCCAAAATCTACCAAACTCTCAAACTCTCTTCTGTGGAAAATAAAAATCTCTCTTTAACAAACCCATAGAAAAGAATGAATGAGTTGTACTCTGGGCTACCTTCTTCCCTCCCTCTCTATCCTCTGAAACAGTTTCTGTGGGGACAGACCAGTATTGTGATAGGGTTTCAGAAGACCTTGAGATGTGTTTTCAGTATGGAGAAGGGGCAGTTCCTCTTACCCATCCCCTTCCACACCATCTGGTAGGCTCTCATTTCACATCTGGCTGAGAGAGTACCTCAGAACTTGGGAAACTGACACTCTCTGCATATTTCCAATTAGAAAGATCTGAAGGACACCAGCACCAAAACCTACTGTCACTGGAGCCAGACCCAGTTCACAGAAGTCTCTAGCCTGAGAGAAATTGAAGGGATCTCTTTTCCTGCCCCACTCTACTGATACACCTGTGTGGAGTAAAAATTTTAATACATGAACACATAAATAATCATACTTCAGCCCTGTTTACATGAAATATGAGTACAACAAAATCCTCCACATAACAAAGATTTTGAATCTTCATAAATGGCCACTTATTTAATGGGTATTGGATAAAAACAAAATTCTAGTACAACTGAAGACTATATAGAACCTGAGAGTTGGTTATAACAGCATTCAACCTGGATTTAAAAAATGGCACACTGTTCAAAAAGTGGTTGGGACCATAAAAGGCTCTGCACAAAAGCCTTCTACTGCAGAAGGTAGCCTTGGGTGGTAAAGCAGTTATTTACTCTCAGCAATTAACCACCTAAGCACAGAGTATTCTGCAATCCCAGCAAAACAACAACCCCACATCCTGCTACCTCACACCTAGGATCCAAGAGGTCTCTGGACCCCGAAGACAACTGTGTTGCCAGCGGTGCGTGGGAAAGATAGGAGGTAGCTAAACTGACCTGTGAGTGCCCTCTCAGTGTGGTTGGGCTCATCTTAGCAGTCAGGGAGTCTCTCAATCATGAAGAGCTGGCCTCCTTCAGTGTTGGGTGTCTGACTTGCATTTATCTGTAAAATGGAAGAGCCACAGATACTTGGAACCCCAGGAATAGACTGAACAGCTACTTTTCAGTCCACAAATGGACATGATTGACCCCAATGCATTCTCAAACATTTAAAAAGAGGAGGCAGAAGAACAAAATGATCCTGTTAGAGCTTAGTGCAAAGAGTCATACTTTTCATGATTGGAACACCAGGGTTACATTCTTGCACCTTGGCCTAATCAATCTTTTGATGCCCTTTTGAAGGAATTCTTCAGATGCATCAAAAGAACTGAATGAATTTGTGTACTGAGAGCAGTGCTTAATGTAATGCACGGGGTCGGCCATACTTATATAAGATTGTAGCAGGCTAGACTAGAGAAGAAAATCTTAGGAACCATTTCCCAAGAGCCTGAAGTTTTCCTATACAATCTCTTTAGATCAATGAAAAGGCTTTTTTCCCCCCCAATTAAAGAAAAATGTAGGCACATAAAAATCTTCCAGGGATGAAAAACACGAAGGTTTTCCCTGGTTCCATTTTTACCTTACTTCAGAACTGTCTGCTCTGAGAAAAAAAAAAAACAAAAAGACATTAAGCAGGCCTGGGCCGGGAGGGAAAACCTACAAAAATGTGCCAACATAGTAAGGTGTGGCACCAAATTAAAACAAGCAAGGAAGTCTTCCGCTTTCTGTCTTTCCTAACGCAGAGTCATCTTTCCTTTAATGGAAGTTCAAACAAGCAGTGATAAAGAGGCCTGGGCCTCTGCTGGGCTGAAAAGGAACCCTTCTGGCAATCCTAGTCTCTGAAGTGGGTCAGGTCCAACAGAGTCTTTCAAAGGGGACACTTACCCAGTGAGTTTTATGTTAGATATGGATCAGGTATGGGATCTGAAGGAGGCTATCAAAGCTAGAATGTGAAATGAGAAGAAAGGTTGTTGAGGGGTATCAAAATACACAGAATGTGCCACATACTCTGGGAATACAGAGAACCCATGCAAGAAAAGCTGCCCCTGCAATGAGGCAGCTGTGCGTAGGGCAGCAATCTGGCACGATCCATCCCTTGGAGACTCAAGGTGGCAGGGATAGAATCTTCATCCAACAAGGATCCTGAGAGTTTGCTGTTCATTCATTTTAGAAAAAAAGCTTCCTGTATCATCCTTCCTGCAGTTCCCCCAAACAGATCTTGGTGAGTGCCCATAGGCAGAAAGAATACATCTAGCTGGGGCTAGGAGGCTTCCAATAACCTTACTCTCATATACAGACTTTTTTTTCTTAAAATAAATTCCATGAACTCATAAAAGCTCTTATCTGCAATCAAATACAAAAGGAGAGCATCCTACTCAGAGGCTCTGACACACACATATCAGCCTCAAAGCAAATCAGCCTTTCAGTCTCAGGTAAGACTGGCTCAGTCCACAAAGGTTAAGGGAGAGGCTTCTCCAGAATCCCGGGAGGCAGGAAGGGATCCCTTCAGATGGGCTTGTATAGCAGAGTAGTGACATACTTCTTCTTGTAGCGATGAGTGGCACTAAGGACCATCACACTGTCCTGCAAGAGAAAGAAACACATGCAGCTAATTCATTCATTCAGGCTCTTCCCAGCCATCAGTCCTTCACAGTCACTCATTTTCTAACAGAGATAGTTTGATATAATAGAAAAATGCTGGGTTTGGGAGTCAAATCAGCTTGAGTTAAAATCCTGACTCATCGTTACTATATTTGTAGTCCTAGGTGATCTACTCAACTTCTCCAAGTCTTTTTTCTCATCGATATAAAGGATAGCACCTATCATTAAGATGGCTCTAATGATTACATGAGACTATCTGGCACAGTACCTGACACAGAACAGCCCAAATTCTAACACTGGGCTCAAAACTAGCAACCAGTAAATAAATAAATGAAAAATAAAGGGATGAAATATCTCAGCATCCATTTATAAAATGAACACTTAAATGCCATGAGAAGAACAACACAGGGAAGAGATCCTTTTGTAAAACTATCTTTAAATCCCAAAGCAGATCAATTTCCATTTAATACCAGGGAGGAACTCAAAAAGTCTTCTCTGATCTAGAGGGGACTCAGGAAGTCCACTAAATCCCAAAATTCTCCCTAGAAAGACACTCAATCCAATGGATCAATTCCAAAGAGCCTAAATAGTAGAGAAGCAGGAATGGGTCAAGGTCAAGCTGAACCACAATGATCAACACCCCTGCCAAGGCAGCAACCAGTATGAAGAGAGGTAGAGGTACCGTTTCCCAGGCTTATGTTACAGACCAGGGGTGTGCCATAGGAATAGACAGCAGGCTTGTGGATATCAATGGACAGCCAAAGAGCAGTCACAGCAGGCAAACTTCAATCTGATCACAAAGAACCCACAATAATTCAATTTAGAAAACAATGTATCCTCCTGTCTTCCCCCATACTGTATTATCCACAATGAATGTTTCTCAGGTTAACACCCTGTGAGAAGAATATGCTGATCACAGCCTACATATAATAGGAGCAAGGGAGATCAAAAAAAAAAAAAATCCAACTCCAGGAAGATTTTAGTAGAAATGAGGAGCAGATGAGAGAAAGAACTACTTGGAAAGACCTGGCACAATGATATATAGGAAAGAACATGGGATTAGGATAGGAGGACTGGACCTCAGTCCTGTCTCTGGTACTTACTGGCAATTTGACCTTCTCTGAGCCTTAGTTTCTTTATCTATAAAACAGGGGTTAAAAAGAATACTTACCTCATAAGGTTATTATAAAAATTAAATTCAATAATAAATACTTCAAAAGCACCACATAATCTGTAAATCAAATGTATTAGTAAATTCCCTAATCTGGCTGCACATCTAAGAAATATAAACAACTAAAAAATAGATTACTAGGTCCCATCTTGTTGTTGTTGGGTGCTGTCAAGTTGATTCCGACTCATAGTGACCCCATATGACAGAGTAGAACTGCCCCATAGGGTTTTCTTGGTTGTAATCTGCTTTCCTGGAAGCAGATTGTCAGGTCTTTCTCCCGAAGAGATGCTGGGTGGGTTCAAACTACCAACTTTTCGGTTAGCAGCCAAGCACTTAACCACTGAGCCACTGGGTTGAGTCTCATCCTAAATGTACTCATTCAGAATCTCTGGGTACAGAACCTCTGAATCTGTATTTTTCCAAACCTCCCGAGGTGATTCCAATGATGATCAGCCACTGAGATATGTAACTTCATTCCAACAGCCAAACCACAAGACATGACAAGAGAGAACAGCATGGGTATTTTCAACCCAGACTCTAAAGCAGCAGGGAAACCAGTGGAGGACTCTAGAGTTGGAGGAGACAGAGTAAATCTGGTCACACTTGAACTCTACCTACTGCACAGGAGAGATGGAAGCACTTGGGTACTTATGCCCCAAGCATCTGGAAGTAAATTCTGTCTACCTTTAAGAAAGCAGAAGGCTTAATATCACATTCAAGCATTCTTTGAACTAGAAGCTAAATTTGCTTTTTCTGCAGATGTGATGTGGCCAATTTATTCCCAGGCCTCTCACCTTCAAGAGTGAAATCTTACTGCTATGACCTCAAACTTAAGTATTCGCTACAAAGCTTCTAGTCCCCTAAAAAAAAGTTGCCAAGCAAAAAAAAGCAATTCAATCTCAGGGCAATTGAGAGATACAGAGACTGATATCGAGACTGAAAATAAAAAAACAAACAAAAACCTGCACTAGCTAATAAAAGAAAATTCTTCCTCCTATCATCTAACCATTACTGCCAGTTTTCGCTTCAGTGAAGGAGGAGAGCAAGTAACCAACCACTGGAGAACGTGTGTTACCCTTATCCTGTGAAGAGCCAGGCCCATCACTTACCTTAATGGACAACGCATAGAGATGGTTCAGCATAACATGGTTGGGCTCAGGGAGCAAGGCTGGGTCACACTAAGAGAAAAAAAAAATCACTAAATGGAGTGAAATGACATAAAGAGCTTACTCTTCTTCAGAGGTCTTTGAAACTAATCAGAAACACTAAACTAGGAACATATTTTCGCCTTAACCAATGCACTCATCTCCACCTCACTTTATAGCAATAATATATTCTCATTACAAAAAATTAGGAAAATTCTGAGTCCAGGGCAGAAACCCTAAGCCTCAACACGTATTAATCTTCCTTGATAGGGCTAAAACAAAAATCTTGCCTACAACACACATATAGAAGATTTCTGTTAAGACATGAAAAACAATCTTAGTGGAATCAACTGGATTGAACGGACATGTAAATTATTTGCAACTGAAGAAAAAAAAAAATTAAACTTCTTTTGTATACCTTCAAATGATAAGCACTCCCTCTACAGTGCTGAAATAGAAGCTCCAGAAATTGATTCTAACAATCCACAGTGCTGGGTCTGATTTTATATCAATAATACATTCTCTTTAGGAAGAGGAGACAATTGAGTTTTAATACCAGCATCTGAGGAAACCACAACACAGTCCCAGAAAAAGAAACCTATAATGCTATTTATATGTATCCGACTTATATTCTGACACACCTTTGCTCCCAACCTCTAATATTACTAAACTTTGGCCCAAATGGTCCTAGTGACCCCTAGATTCCCTAGAGATACTAGCAGGGTACTCACAGAAATGTTAGTGTCCTTGTTAAGAATAACTTGGAGAAGGTGAGGAGGAAGGATGGGTGGGGACTTGAATCGCTCCTCAGATCGAAACACATACATTTCTTGACCATAAGGCCCTGGGGGTGAGCTGGAAAGGTCTGAAAGATATTTATCCAAATATGAGGAAAAGTTGAAGAATCAGCAAAAATGCATGGAAAAAGCTGTCAATACATGACAACTAATATGAAGTATGAGCCACCTTGGTGGCACAATGGTTAAGCACTTGCTAAATGAAAAGTTGGCGGTTCAAACTTACCAAGCCATTCTGTGTGAGAGAAGACCTGGTGATCTGCTCCTGTAAAGATTACAGCCTAGGAAATTATATGGGGCAGTTCTACTCTGTCATATAGGGTCACTATGAGCCGGAATTGACTCAACGGCACACAGCAACAATATTAAATATGGGTAGAAGTCATGGACCATGAACTTGTTACCTGTTAGGTCTACAACTGTCAGGTAGCCAAAGGAGTCTGGGTCATCCTGGACACCCACCATGGGCTTCCTAGACATGGCAGCATGATGTAGAGAAAAGAGGGAGAAATGATGGATATAAGACCTAGGCTCAGGGTAGAGCTACTGTATTTATTAGCCGTATGGGCTTGGACAAATCCCTTCACTACATCTAGTTACCTCATTCATAAAATAATAGCCCCTGACCTACTTACAGGGTTTTTGTAGGAATCAAAGGATATAACAACTGTGAAGATGCCTTTTAAGCTGTCAAACAATATGAAAAGGTTAGATATCTTCTTTATTTCACGCCAGCAACAGACAAGGTTATAAACTCTAAGACTATTGATACTACAATGACTGCAACAATGAAGACAAAATGTATGTATCAGTCATTAACCAGTTGCCATCGAGTCCACCTGGACTATGGCAAGCCTGACTCAGAGAAACCTCATGTGTGGCAGAGTAGAACTATGCTCCATAGGGTTTTCCATGACTGTGATCTTTTAGAAGTAGATCACCAGGCATTTTTTTCCAAGGCACCTCCGGGTGGATTCAAATCTCCAACCTTTTAGTTAGTAGCTGAGCACTGCTTAACTGTTTGTGCCACTCAAAGCCTCCTGAAGCAGTCATTAGGGAAACGCAAATCAAAACCACAATAAAAAATCACTTTACACCCATTACGATGCCTATAATCAAAAAGACAGACAATAACAAGAGAAACTGGAATCCTCATACATCATACATTGCTAGTGGGAACGTAAAATGATTCGTCCGCTTTGGAAAACAGCCTGGCAGTTCCTCAAAAAGTTAAAAATGGGGGGAAAAAAAGTTAAACATAGGAAGAAAAAAAAAAATTAAACATGGAGTTGAACAATTCCATTCCTAGGTATATACACAAGATAAATGAAACCATATTCACACAAATGTTCATAGCAGCATTATTCACAATAGCCAAGGAGTGAAAATAAACAACGAACGGATATACAAAATGTGGTATACCCATACAACGGAACATTATTCAACCATAAAAAGGAATGAAGTACTGATACATGCTACAACATGGATGAACCCTGAAAACATTATGCTAAGTGAAAGAAGCCAGTCACAAAAGACCACATGCCATATAATTCCATTTACAGGAAATATCCTGACTAGGAAAATCTAGAGTAGGCAAATCTAGAGACAGATAGGTTAGTGGGTGGGTGGAGAAGGAAGGAATTTTTCTGCTAATAAGGTTTCTTTTGGGGGTGCTGAAATGTGCTGGAATTAGTAGTGATTGTTGCATAACCTTGTGACTATACTAAAAAAACCACTGAATTGTACACTTTTTAAATTGTATGGTATATGAATTACTATTTCAATTAAAAAATGAGAAAAAATGTACACTAACTAGAAGGAAATATACAAAAATGAAGAGAACTACATGATGGTATAATTTGTTTTTGTTTGAAAAATTTTATGTTTTTATAGTCTCCAAGGACTATAAAGGAGCCCCTGTGGTGCAGCGGTTAAAGCACTCAGCTGCAAAGCAAAAGGTCGGCAATTCAAACTGCTCCACAGGAGAAAGATGTGGTAGTCTGTTTCCGTAAACATTTACAGCCTTGGAAACCCTTGGGACAATTCTACTCTGTCCTATAGGGTTGCTGAGTTGGAAATCACTGGACAGCAATGAGTTTGGTTATATTCTCCAATGAAAAATCATTTTAATAACCAGAATTAACAACCCAAATTTCAGCTAAATATATATAAAACAAAAGAAAAAGGTAGTAACAATGTGTTATTAAACAGTATCTTAATATATAAACTTGAAACTTTTCAAAGTACTTCCAAGTATTTTGTCACTTGACCTACAAAATAACCTTGCGAAGTATATAGGACAGTTTTTATTACCTTTTCACCAAAAAACAAACAAATTGGTCAAGTGAGTCACTCAAAGTCACATACACAGCTAGATGGTTACTGAGTATAGATTAGAACCCGTTATCTGCAGATTTCTAATAGAATTTATTCTAAGTCTTAGTCTAATGGATCAGAAAACTAGACGGAAGGAGAAAGAAAGAAATAGCGAAAGTATGCTAGTCCTCTCTATATATAATTATGGTTATATGTCTATTATATATTATTATTATATATTATTATTACTATGCAAAAATTTCGAGTCACAGGTGACCTCATCATTTAATTCAGTATTTTAAAAACTTACTTATCATGGCACCACTGATCAAGAAGATTATCCAATTTTACTTTCAGACTTTATATAACAAAAACAGTATTTTAGATTTTTTTCTAAACAATTACTATACTGTTGATTCTTTTAGGAACTGCATAAACCACTCCCCTTCTGCTCTGAGATTCTAGTATGCCCCACTTGAAGTACTTTATCTCCTCAGCTGAGGATCATGGAGAGTCTAAGCCTCTGATTTTACAGGTGAGGAACTGAGATGCAGAAAGGTTGAGTGACTTGTCCATAATGGTAAATCTAGTCAGTAGCAGACACAGGCTTTGAACCCACAAGGGAGAAATGTGTTCCCTGAGAATATAGGGCACAATTCTATAAAAAGTCACAGCCTTTAGTGTAAAATAACAAAATGGTAACTTTGAGTGCAGTTAGCAAACCACTCTTCTGGTACTTTAGTGAATGCAAGTAGAGATGAAGGCCTTAGAGAAAAATAATATTGGGGGAAAAAAAGCATAAAGGTTTTTTCCCCTACCAAGGACTCTCTTATTTTAGCAGAGTTAATTTCAGCTAATATACACACATAAGAATTGTTTTAATGTTTCTGTTTTTTATCTTTTCTCCCCAAGGACTGTCATACCTGTAAGTATGTAGCATTTGTCACTGTAAGGTGCTGTTCGTCAATCTTTGACTCATGGCGATCCCATGTGATACAGTAGAACTGCTGCATAAGGTTTCTAGGCTGTAATCTTTATGGGAGCAGATCAGCAGGACTTTCTCCCAAGGAACTGCTAGATGAGTTCAAACCGTCAACTATTCAGTTAACAGCTGAGTGTTTAACCATTGCACATTATGTAGCATTTACAAAACCCAGTGCCATCGAGTCCATTCCAAATCATAGCAACCTCACAGGGTTTCCAAGGCTGTAAATTTACAGAAGCAGACTGCCACATCTTTCTCCCTCGGAGCCATTGATGGTTTCGAACCGCTGACCTTTTGGTTAGTAGTCAATTGCTTTAACCGCTGCACCACGTAGCATTTAGGACCTTATAAACTATAGAACTGTCAACCAAGCTCTGAAATTAGCAGAACTAAGCCAAGGCAACTAAACAAGGCAAACCAGGCATCTAGCCTCTGCTGGATGACACCACCAAAGGTGAATGAAAAGCTTGAAATAGTACTAGAAATAATCATTTAAATGACAGGCCATGGCCGATTAGTGGGTTATAAAAGAAAAGATAAAATAGAAAGTAGAGTGCACCATCTGTAATAAGGGCAAACATCATAGGATGAGACTTGTGTTATAGTTGTGTGTGTGTGTGTGTGTGTGTGTGTGTTGGATCAAAACAAACAAACAAACAAGCCCACTGCCATCGAACTGATTTCAACTCATAGCGACTCTACAGGACAGAGCACAACTGCCCCACAGAGTTTCCAAGGAGCGGCTGGTAGATTCTAACCGCTGACCTTCTGCTTAGCAGCCGAGCTCTTAACCACTGTGCACCAGGGCTCAGTGTGTTGGGTGGCAAGGCAAAATAAATATCTTACTATAGGTCCTGGTTAAAAAGTTTGAAATAAAATATACTGGGCTGAGATGAGCTCTGCCTCAGAGAAGGGGACCTGAATGTTTACAGGAGAAACATACACCATATTTTAACCGCAAAGCTGGTGGTTCGAGCTCACTCAGCAGTTCCACCGGAGAAATACCTGGTGATCTGCTCCCATAAAGATTACAGCAAATAATGCTCGCATTATGCCAGAACCGTTTTACTTAATTTCATCATTTCCAAGCTTTATATGTGTGGGCGTGTCACTTACGTGGGCACGTTATTTGCAAAAAAATATGGTATATAGGATTCAGAAAATTCTCGTAAAGAAAATGGGGGGAAAACACTCTTGGGAAGGGACATGCATTATAATATAGACACAGCAAGAAACAGCAAATACTACAAAATTACCTCGGCAAGATGTCTCTGAGCTTTCCATAGAATCTAGCTTTAAAGCATCAAACACCTCAAAATCCGATTTCTTGACATGGATCAAATTATTAATTGTGCCAAGCTGACTGGTAATCACAGGCTGAAACAGTGAATACAAAAAATTAATGAATCTCCTTTTCAAATCCATCTCTTCCATCCAACTCTCCTCTTGGTAAAAATAAAAAATGATCATATTCAGCACCCCATCTTTTATCAAGAGAGAAATCCTCCAGTGTAGGGGAGCTGTCATCTACCAATCCTGAAAGCAATGATGTCTGACGCCAAGGGGAATGATCGCTAAAACAAGGCTGTTAAGCCAACGGGTATCCTCAGAGATCAAGGCCTTACCTCTGATGGATCATGAACCCACTGTCCATCCACGAAGAACTTATACTGGTGCTCTCCCTCAGGAAGGTCCAGGATGGCAACAAAGTCATTATGGCTACAGAAGAAAACAGAAAGACAGAACAAGTTCCTGTCAGAAGACAGAATATAACCACCATGTGGCAATCACAGTATCATACCCATGATCTGCCGTGATCCTAAGCCTTTGTAACCACTGGAGTAGAAAACAATTTATGAAACCATTCTCCTCTTTTTTTTTTATCATCACCTTGGACATGTATTTGCCAGGCCCTCCCGACAACTTTAGTTCTTAACTAATAACTGGGAAAAGAAAATCAATTTGATGCCCCAAAATGGTTTACCTTAGTACAACTATTTTGCTTCAACAAAACAGACCCCTCACATGTGTAAATAAGATAACAGGTGGGTTTAGGGTATTGAAGTGCCTCAAGATATCCTTTCCATATTTTGGTGAGCCTTTTCCAGCAAACTATCTACCAAGCAAAGGCCATTCTGATAACCAATTGAATAATTAATTATTGCTCTACAAGTGACAGATGATTAACCACCTAAAACTTCACAATGTGTTCTGCTTTAATGCATTAAGTTAGAGCAAGTGGACTCAGCCAGATACAGAAGACTTTGTGGAAGCATAGAAAGGACTTGTGTTAACATAGTCCTAAAGTATGTACTCACAAAGATTATAAGTTCCTCTGAGGCAATGGCATTCTAAGTGGTAAAATATCTCTGATTCACTATGAGGTTAAAAAAAATGCTATGGATATAGTAAGTGGTCACAAACAAGAGTATCTTCCAGAGAGTCCCCAGCAGTTGGAGAAGAGTAGCCCAGCCAGGTCTCTCTTTTGAGAAAGGAAAACATATCTCTATTCCTGGACCCTGTAGACTCAACCAAGATGCTTATCTTTACCTCTTAATCAGGGGAATCTTGGTGCTCCAGTTGTTGAAGGACCCAGAGATGAAGACTTCCTTGCCGCCTTCAGACCAGCGGATGACAGTGGGCCGAGCCTGCTGTGTGGGCTTTACGGCGTCCTCCAAATCTTGCTGCCATGATACAAACTCTTTGTCCCCAGGGAGCTGTAAGAAGTAGGTTATCCCTAGAATAAATTGTTACCCAAGGATTCTTAAAATGTCACTCGCCTTTTAACGTTGAATTTTATCCTCCAAAAAGATGTGTTGAAGTCCTAACCAGTGTAGCTGTCAATGTGACCTTGTTTGGGGAAATAGGGTCTTTCTTTGAAGATATTATCACTTAAGTCATACCAAAGTAGGGTGGGTCTTAATCCTAATCCCTTCTGAGTAGTGTCTTATAAAAGGGTCTGGCAGACATGAAAATAGTCACAAATGGGGAAGATATCATATAACAGAGCAAGTCTAGAAGCACAAGCAAAGGAACATCAAGGATTGCCAGCAGCCACTAAAAACTAGGAGAGAGCATGGAACAGTTCCTCTCTCAAAGCCCTTAGAAGAAACCAACACAGTCAATACCCCAATTTGGCCTGCTAGTTTCAAGATCTCTGAGATAATAAATTTCTATTATTTAAAGCCACCCACTTTATGGTATTTTATATGGCAGCCCTAGGAAACTAAGACACCTCCCTAGAGCGGAGAGGGGTAGTAGCTTCTGCAAAGGATCAATACGCCCTGAAACTAGCAACTAAATCAGGTTGTGAACAAACTAAAGAAAAAGAACTCATCTAGAACCAAAAATAGTCAAATGGCTTATGCTCAATTACTACCCAGCTCACAGGGTAACTTCCAAGTCTGTACACATCACTCATTCTTTCAGAGAACTGCTGCTGTTATTGTTAGTTGCCATTGAGTTGGTTCTGTGGAGAACTGCTCCACAGGGTTTCTAAGACTGTGACTTTGGAAGCAGATCACCAGGTCTGTCTTCCAAGACTCCTCTGAGTGGATCTGAACCGCCAACCTTCAGCTAACTGTTCATGCCACCCAGGGAGCTTTCAGAGCCTTAGGCTCGCCCTTTTTGAAAAAAAAAAGGGGGGGAGGGGGAAGCTTATTCCTATTACCAATTTAACTCATAGGGAGGCAATTATGATGTTTCTGAATGCCTCTTAGGAGAAAGCATATGAGAACTAAGTATATAAAGTATATATAAAGTATATAAAAAATAAGACCCATATTATTTTCATAGACAAATATAAACAGCTTTTGATTATCAGTCGTAATGGAAGTTGGGGATACTGAAATTCATAAGTAACTCATAAACTCCATTGTAGCTACCAGGTTACAAGAAGAATGAATATTAAAAATTCAAATATCAGAGGATAGATTTCTTAAAATTTGAGACGTGGTTATGAAATCTTAACTTGCTCACCTATGCCAGCTTTATGCTAATTATTTCAGGAGAAGAGATGAAAATCCTGGAGGCTTAAGGAGCAACAAATCAAAAATACAGCTTCCTTTAAAGCAATTCCAATATCAAATTTGCAAGATTCTGAGAAAAATTAACTGTTTACTTAGTAGTTTTTTTTTTTCACTACTATCCTCTAGACCACGAGTTGGCTAACGATGGCCAGTAGGTCAGATGTTTTTGTAAATAAAGTTTTATTGGAACAAAGGCACAGCCATTCATTTATATATTGTCTACAGTTGTTTTTGCACTACAGTGACAGAAATGAGTAGCTGACTAAGAGACCGTATGATCTGCAAAGTCTACAATATTTACTATCTGGCCCTTTACAGAAAAAGTTTGATGATCCCCCATTTTGTTGTTAGCTGTCATGGAGTCAGCCCCTGACTCATGGTGACCCTGTGCACTATGGAATGCTGCCCAGACCTGCGCCATCCCCCTGATCAGCTGCTGCTGGGAGCATTGTGATCTATAGGGTTTTCATTGGCTGATTTTCAGGAGTAGATCGCTAGGACTTTCTTCCTAGTCTGTCTTAGTCTGGAAGCTCCACTGAAATCTGTTCAGCAACCTAGCAACATGCAAGCCTCCATGGACAGATGGATGCGTGGTGGCTGTGCTTGGTGAGTATTGGTCAGGAATCGAACCTAGGTCTCCAGCAGGAAGGGTGAGAATTCTATCACTGAACCACCGATGTCTCACTTTAGATTGGCAAAAAATGACTTTAGCAAATAGGTAAATAAGACAATATATACTAAGTCAAAATACTACTAAATAAAATAACCTGGGTTAAAAAAAAAAAGGACTAGCTTATGGTATTCATTTGGGTTTTCTATTTAAAATAGTTGAGGTAGTTTACCGTTTATACTGTCTTTTGATAGTCCTCAAAACTATACTGTGAGACACTGGTAGCTGCATAATTCAAAGTAAATGGATAAAGATAACTGAAAGAACTTTCATGTTATACAAGGATTCGTTATACTATTCTCCCTACTTTGTAAATTTTCCATAAGATGTTTTTAAAAACATCAGGTGATTCTAACATGCTAGGATGGAGAACCACTGAACTAGTCCACTAAAGAAGGCTGGCACCACTGTCACCATTTCTATCATTATTTTATGACTTAGGATTTTCAGTGTAGAATTTGAAAGCTACAAACTATTAATATGCCTCACTTTGGAGTAAAGGCCTTCCACATATAACATTATGTGGTAGGCATGAGGGCAGCTGACTAGCAGAAAGATTGTTTACTCCAAGTTAAACAGCAAAATCACCAAGAAAAGAGGCAAAACAACAATTAGAATGATAGCTTGAAGGTTTTTATAAAATGTTGATGGAAAAAGTGAAGGGGATAGATTTAGAAGTATAGAAGTTTATATTGGGAAGAGACCTTAAAATTACCTAAACCAATTCTCTCATCTCTCAAATATCAAGATTGAAGTGAGGGAAAGAATGATCCAAAATAGGCCCCAATGCAGGCTTTTATTCAGGACACCGATTACTGCAGTCACTATTTGACAAATACTTAAATACTGAGTCATCAGAGTAGGAAAAGGGTAAAAATATAATGATGCAGATCATCTTCGAGAAAGCTTTGACAAAGAAAATTCAGACGGCTGCTTAGACAGCCCAAAAGATGAAACAGAAGTCCTGAAGTGGGAGAGGGAAGAAAAGAACAGAGAAGAAACCCCTAGAAATGCTCCTTTCAATTACCTTCACTTACTTCTTCCTCTGTGATTATTTTCTCAATTGGACTCCAAACAAATATACAAACCATATACTCCAAATTTCATGCTACCAATGTGGCAGATAATACTCTATTTACAGTCTAAAACTCCAGCTTGGTGGGAAATGATGAGGTAATAAGAAACATATCCCAGTCTCTTCAATTCCTCCATTTTTCTATTTCAGTCCAGTCCATCTATATGGATGAATTAAATGTATTTAATGCTGAAAGCTCTAAATTGATTAGAAACATTAGGATGGTAATCACAATGCTGTCAGCCCCATCTGTCCTTTCTGTAGGATGAACACAAGTTGCTGCCTTGGAATTGAGAGCAAGGTCTCAGGGCAGCTATGGGTTGTCGTTTTTTTTTTAGCCATGGCAACATTCTGAGGTACTGCTGGGAAGTGGAGAAAGCCTGGAGTCCAAGAATCATTTGCTTTCCCATTTGAGGAGTAGCTGGGTGTTAAAGAAGCACAGCCTCGGCCAACACGACCATGAAATACATATGAAATTGATTAGACAACTAAATGATATCCTTTATTGGTCCCCAAAACTAGGATTGTTGTTGTTGGATGCAGTGGAGTAGATTTCGACTCATACCGACCCCATGTGACAGAGTAGAACTGCCCCACCGGGTTTTCCGGACTGTAATTTTTATGGGATGAGATCGCCACAGAGCGGGTGGGTGGATTCAAACCACCAACCTTTCCATTCGCAGTCCAGCTCTTAACCATTGCGCCACCAGGGCTCCTTAATTATGCAGATAAGCAAGTGGTTGCTGCTAACAGCCACACCAATGGGTGAAGAGAAACAGACGTGCTAAGCTTCTAGGGCAAAAATGATACACACACATAGAAGTTATCAAGAAAAAGAAAATTCATTCGCCCACCTCAGGACAAACTGAGAAGCTGTCACCTATGGTCAGCAGCTCTGGCAACCTACCCTCTGAAGTTTTCCATTAGGGCTTACAGCTCATAATTTAGCAATACTCTGGAAAAGAGCAACCATGCCTTTTACAGCCACGGATTCTGTGGGGGTTTATTATCCCGCATCCTAAAAATGTGGCCAAAAGATTAGTCAGAAAACCAGGAAAATAAGAATTCTATCTCTTCATCCTATTTTGAATCAGCACCGCAAGAGAAATTATCCAACACCCCCGACCCTCGAAAACCCCTTTAATTCAAAATATCGTAACCCAAGTCAGTGTGATGAGAAAGAACCAAGAAAGGGAAGAGGAGCCCGTGAACCAAACCTCCTGAAGCACCGCCACCAACCTTGGAGTCCTGCAGGCTGAAGACGCTTGGGTCATCGGTGCTCCCCACCATTATCTTGTGCTCCTTGCCCGGGGCATGGCCGCCGGCACCCTCGGTGCGCGCTGCCTTGGTGCCGTGGCGCTCCCCGGACACCCGGTCGCTGGCGGTGTTTCCCATGATTGCGGCTCGAGTCGGGAGCCACCTGCCGCGGAGAAGGACAAGGGGCGGGGGATATCCCAACGGTTGCGTCAAGGACGCTCCCGGTCCCGCCCCTGCGACCTGGGACCCGGGCAGGGAATCCCCACTCCAGTGAAGCCGTGCCCAAGGATCCCCTCCCTCTCCAGCGTCTAGGAGGACCCAGATATCCCTAGGTCCTCTCACCGCCCTCCTCCTCAGGAAATCAGCTTTCGGAAACTCTCCCGCATCCCCGCGCTCACTACCCCCACTCTAATCATCCCCCACCGCCAATCACCTCCCGCCATGCGCTCCCGCTTCCCGGGGCCACTGGTGCAATTGCTGTTCTGCGGTTAGGGGCACCAATAAAGTTATTGAAATTGAAGCCGCACCTCCGAGTAGGGATCCGGATTTCCTCCTAAAATGGCTACAAGGCCAGTAGCACTGGGCACGCCCCTCACACGTTCCTTGCGGCCGCACCCACGCGGCGCCCAGGGCCAGGCCGCCTCTCTAGCCGCTGCTGCCGCCTCAGTGGTGAGCAGACCCGCGCAGTCTTCAGAGCCAGATGGGGGTGTCCGACTCGCAGCCCTGCGATCTGCGGCGCCTCGGGCTGGGGCCGCCCCACTGGACGAGACGCTGCACCGGGGATTGCTGGTGAGACGGATCGTTGGGCCTACCCTACATAGAGGGCAGTCCCTGAACGATACTCGGCGGCCACCTCCCTGACCTCCAGTGCTTGGTACCCGGAAGAACAGTGGTGCTTTCTTCCCGTCCCGCTCACCCAGCCCCAGGTTCGCCAAAACGTTTTCTGAGCGGAGTCTTCTTGAGAGGCCGTACTGGAGAAGTGAGCTCCTATAGGGAGTTAGATAACGGGCTTCCAATTCCAGCAGAAGGAGGTAATGGTAATTGCTCGAGGTTTAAGCTGTGTGCTGTAGGATCGACGAGGAAGGAGCAGTCAGCTGATTGGGGCTCCAGGGAAGATTTGAAGGCGTAGGAGATAAACCTTGAGAAATAAGTATTAATCTTAGGACAAGAAGAAGTGTTTGTATTATAATTATATGCATGTCTCATTCCCCACTAGAAACTTGCTACTTAACCTGTGTTCCACACACCAACATCACTGACGTCATCTGAGACCCCATCCTAGACCTACATAATCAGAATCTGCGTTTTAACAAGATTCCCAGGAGATACGTGTGCACATTAAAGTGTGAGAAGCACTACTTTGACAACTCAGCAGAGCAGATACAGATTTAATTCTTCATATTCTTTCTGCACGGTACCTTGTATAAAGTAAGCTTTTAATAAATATTTGCAGAATGAAGGGTACAGGGCTACTGTTTACTTACATTTCTAACAAGACATGCCACTTAGGCTTAAGCACAGCCAGTGATGGGTCACATAAGGCCACTCTTTCTGAGTGAACAGCTCTATTTGTGGAAAAGTTCATTTTTATATTAAGCTGAACATCTGCTTGACTCCAACAAATCTACTCTTCCCCCATCTTTCCTTCCTGTACTCCTTCTAAGCTCAGTCATTCTCAGCTCTTAACCAAACAATTTGCAGAAGAAAGGGAAATTTTACTGCAGCCTCTTGCTCACTCCTAAATTTTGACGGAGTAACTCCTCTTTGTTTACCCCTACCCTTTCCCTCAAGAATACATGGTGGTGCAATGGTTAAGAGCTCTCATGCTAACCCAGGGGTCGACGGTTTGAACCCACCCAGCGGCTCCAAGGGAGAAAGACCTGGTGATCTGCTCCTGTAAAGATTACAGCCTAGAAAACCCTATGGGGTAGTTCTACTGTCACATGGGGTCACTGTGAGTTGAAAATCGACTGAATGGCACCCAACAACATCCCTTTCCCTAGTTTCTTTCATCCTTTCCAGTAGGATTCTGAAACAAGGCCCTAGTCTTGTGTACTATTCCGTTTTCTACCCCCAGGGGTGTTTCTTCTTGCTAAATAATATGTCCATGGTATCTATTTCCTTATAACATTATTATATTAGCCTATGGAAAACTTAAGAGAAATAAACTGTTTTCGTAAATTGTTGTACTGTATTTCAAAGCCAGATTTGAGCCGTGACTAAATCTTCCTCCTGAGACCTGAAATCTAAAAATTTGGACTCTAATCATTGAGCTAACATTGTAATTGTTAATTCGGATTCTATGGTTCTAAATTAATACTGTGAGGTCTTACTTGCATGCCTTGCCATGACTAAATGAGTTTATGCACGACACACCTGAGTATGCCTCTATTCCTAAGATAAAATCCTACATGACAGCTCCCAATAAAAGCTCTGGATGTGGAAACTCCATGGGCTTCCTAGTTGGTGAAAAACATCAATACACATGGGATGGTAGCACATCCCTTTTTGGGACATGGAAGCTCGTGTTGGGACCCCTCCCAGACGTTGCCTATGCATCTCTTCAGTTGTATCATTTTTCTGTAATAAAATTATAATCATAAGTATAGTGCTTTCTGTGAGTTCTATGAGTTGTTCAAGAGAATTATTATACCCAAGGGAATAGTGGGAGCCAGTGGGTCAGAAGTGAGGGAGCTGGGGACCCCTAAGCTTACAGCTGGCATCCAGAAGGGGTAGTGGGAAAAAACCCTGAATTTGTAGCCAGCAGGTCAAAAGTGAGGGGAGCCCTAGGGACTCCCAAGCTTGTGGCTAGAACCTGTGATCTTGGACCAACTCGGCAGTCTGGGGAACTGTGTCCTTTAATCTGTGAGCTCTGCCCCAGCTCGGGATGGTTACAGTCAGAGGAAGAAGTGCTGCATGCTCAGCTGGTGTCAGAACAGAAGGGGCAGAAAAGTGAACAGTGGGGATTTTGATTTATGTTGATTATTCTCCTCATAGTCTTTTTTTTGTACTTTAGATGTAGGTTTACAGAACAAAATAGTTTCTCACTAAAGAGTTAGTGTACATATTGCCCTATGACAATGGTTAACAACCCCACAACATGTCAACACTGTCCTTTCTCAACCTTGGGTTCCCTATCACCAGCTTTCCTGTCCCCTCCTGCCTTCTAGTCCTTGTGTGCTGTGCCTCATTAGTCCCATTTTGTTTTATGGGGCTGTCCAATCCCCGGCTGAACAGTGAACCTTGGAAGTGACTTCACCGCTGAACTGAAAGGGTGTCTGGGGGCCATACTCTCAGGGTTTCTCCAGTCTCTGTCAGTCCAGTAAATCTGCTCTTTTTTTGTGTGTTAGAATGTTGTTCTACATCCTTCTCCAGCTCTGTCCATGATCCTCTGTTGTGATGCTGGTCAGAGCAGTCAGTGGTGGTAGCCAGGCACCATGTAGCTGTACTGGACTCAGTCTGGTGGAGGCCTTGGTAGCTGTGGTCCGTTAGTCCTTTGGACTAATCTTTTCCTTGTATCCCGTTCTCTTCATTCTCCCTTGCTCCTGAAGGAGTGAGACCAGTGGAATATCTTAGATGGCTGCTCACAGACTTTCAAGACCCCAGGCGCTACTCACCAAGGTAGAATATAGAACGTTGTCTTTATAAACTGTGTTATGCCAGCTGAGCTAGATGTTCCCCGAGACCGTGGTCCCCACAGCCCTCTGCCCAGCAATTCAGTCCCTCAGGGAGTTTGGAGGTGTCTATGGAGCTTCCATGACCTTGCCCTGAACAAGTTGTGCTGCCTTCCCCAGTATGGTGTACTGTCTTACCCTTCACCAAAGTTACCACTTATCTATTGTCTATTTAGTATCCCCCACACACACTCCTCCCATCCCTTGTAACCAACAAAGATTGTTACTTTTTGTGTGTAAACTTTTTCATGAATTTTTACAATAGAGGTCTCATGCAATATTTGTCCTTTTTGATTTACTTATTTCACTCAGCATAATGTCCTCCAGTTTCATCCATGTGATGATATGCTTCACAGAGTCATCATTGTTCTTTATCATTGCATAATACCCCATTGTGTGTATGTACCATAGTTTGTTTATCCACTCATCTGTTGATGGGCATCTAGAATGTGTCCATCTTTTTGCTGTTGTGAACAGTGCTGCAGTGAACATGGGCGTGCATATGTCTATTTGTGTGACGGCTCTTATTTCTCTAGGATATATTCCTAGGAGTGGGATTGCTGGATCATATGGTATTTCTATTTCTAGTTTTCTAAGGAAGCGCCATATCATTTTCCAAAATGGTTGTATCATTATGCATTCCCACCAGCAGCACGTAAGATTTCCAATCTCCCCGCAGCCTCTCCAACATTTGTTATGTCCAGTTTTTTTTGATTAGTGCCAGTAATGCCAGGGTGAGATGATATCTCATTGTGGTTTTAATTTGCATTTCTCTAATGGCTAGTGGTCGTGAGCATTTCCTCATGTGTCTGTTGGCCACTTGAATGTCTTCTTTGGTGAAGTGTCTGTTCATTTCGTTGGCCCATTTTTTAATAGGATTATTTCTCTTTTTGTTGTAGAGGTGTTGGATTTTCTTGTTGATTCTAGAGATTAGACCTTTGTCTGACTTGTAATGTCCAAAATTTTTTTTCCCAGTCTGTAGGTTCTGTTTTTACACTTTTGGTGAAGTCTTTTGAAGAGCATAGGTGTTTGATTTTTGGAAGATCCCATTTATCTAGCTTGTCTTCTGGAGTCTGCCTATCCATGAACATGGTATGTTTTTCCATTTCTGTAGATCCCTTTGGGTTTCTTGCAGTAGTGTTTTGTAGTTTTGTTTGTATAGGTCTTTTACATCCCTAGTTAGATTTATTCGTAAGTATTTTATTTTTTTAGGGGCTATTATAAATGGTATTGTTTTCCTGATTTTCATCATTCTCTTTATTGGTGTGTAGGAATCCAACTGATTTTTGAATGTTTATCTTGTCTCCTGCTACTCTGCTGAATCTATTAGTTCCAGTAGTTTTCTCGTGGAGTCCGTAGGGTTTTCTATGTATAGTATCATATCCGCAAGCAGTAAGAGTTTAACTTCTTCATTACCAATTTGGATGTCCTTTGTTTCTTTTTCTTGCCTTATTGCTCCAGCTAGAACTTCCAGCACAATGTTAAATAGGAGTGGTAATAAAGGGCATCCTTGACTTGTTCCTGTTCTCAAGGGGAATGTTTTCAGCCTCTCTCCATTAAGAATGATGTCGGCTGTTCGTTTTGCATAGATGCCCTTTATTATATTGAGAAATTTCCCTTCTATACCTAT